AAATAAAAAAAACAAAATCTTTTGTTTACGCCTTAGTTATTTTTTATTCGAAATTGAAAAAATTACACATTTTTATGATAGTAAGATATCGATAGAAAATAATACATTTGAATCGATCTATAAAATCAGAAAAACTATATTTATAGGCTTTTGTCAACGTTTACTGTGTTTACGATACGATTCGATTCTGAAGTTTGAAAACCCTTAAAAAATATCTGTTGAGAATAGTTTTGATCCTTCTTCGTGCTAGAATGCTAGATTTGATGGTTCAAACTAACATACTAATATATAAAAAGCCCATTAATATTGGTTAAATAATAAATATTCATCAAAGTTTTAAATAAATAGCCTCGCGCTTAGGTACATTCCGCGCTCAACATATACATTCAGTACTGTGTTTTACACCTGCTGATCACCGTTGACTTCCACACTTATAAATTATTATTTTTAGACAAAATTCATTTTTAGTATGAGGGCGTTTTCCAAGAGTATCTTAAACGATAATAAAATATTTTTGTGTCGATTGGACATGCAAACTATCCTGCATAATATTGTCATAGCTCTTGTCCCACAGGCCGACGCAAAATACAGAACTGTGCATGTCAGTCATTTTTGACATGAAATATGTAATTGATCTATCATAAATTTCTCTATTTCATCCAAGAATTGGGCCAGGGGTTGAAATTAATTTAACATGAGTAAAAAGTTTGCCTGGCCATCGTGTCTTTGATTACTATACTCTGACACATAGTCAGTACATGGACTATAACTATATACGTTGAATCGCCGATTCAATTTCAAGCTCTTTTGACTTTTAGTAGATACGAATTTATTGCTATCCGTCTTTTATTCAATACTTCAGAAAATGCTCAACGTATCGTATTCGTATGCAAATTTATACTGCATGAAAATGCAACGCCAATGCCAATGCAAGAAACATTTATCCAGTACGCAAAACAACGAGAGAGAGATTCAAAAAGCAATTTGTAGTACCGAGAAGAATTTTTGTGTATTTATTTATAGCAGTTTATTATAGATTATGAGAACTGACAATACTGTTTTAAAACATCAGTATTGCACAAAACATAATTCTGCTGTAATCACAATTGTTATATTGCGATTTTCTAAATAAATAAAGTTACTACCTACATTTTATGTAAACTGCTCTAAAAACTGATCCTGTTATAAGCTTCATATATTATATTATTTATTTATTTATTTATTCATAAGCAAGCCGTAATCAATAATAATAAATATTATTTCAGGCTTTTGTCAAGCTTATTAATATTTAATATTAAAAAGATAGTAATTTTATAATAATCATAGTATCTGCACGATTTTCGCTTCAAAAAAAAGAGCTGAAAATACAATGTTCATCAGTAAGTTCATCATATTAAAGTCTATTTAACCACGAGTCAAGCTCAAAATACTTGAACAAGGTTGAAAATTATACTGATTTAAACCGTAAAAATTAAATTAATAAAATAGCAATAAGGAACTAGAAAAATATATAAATGAAATAAAATTTACAATTTTTTACTTTTATAAAATTTACTATTTATCATTGCCATTTTTGCTTTAAAACTTCGTTTTGTTGAAATCTAAAATGAAACTATTTTACATAGAAAGAAGTTTTAAAAACCAATAATTATTTTATTATTGGTTTTCTATTGTAATATTCTACTACTATCGACGCAGTATCTAAAGCGCTATAACCTAAATACATCAAGCTTTCAAATGCTATAAATCATAGCTATAAACATTTAAAATTCGTTAAGAATTAGAGACATTTAAAAAATAAACATTTAAGAATTTGTTAAGTATTAGCATGAATTTGGAAATTTAAAATTAGACGCAAATAGTGTAGTAGAAAAATAATTTATCAATCATGATTTTTTTTAAAAGTCTTCAGAAGAAGGTAATACGCTATTTTGATAAGGTTTGCGAATTCATATTCAAGATACTGAAAGTTTGTTCTAAACGAATATATTTTATCGAGTATTGTACATTATTAACAAATTAAAACGTGTTTTTTCCGGTGAATTAATATATTTCAAACTTCAGTATTTTTCTACACTAGAAGTTTTCAATGATACTGATCTATTAAATAAAAGCTCTAAAATTCATTTAGATAAAAAAGACATATCAGAAACTCGGATGTCTTTTTATATAAACAAATTTTAGAACTATTATTTAATAGATAGATCAGTAGTACTGATCTATCTAAGATCTAAGATCTAAGATCTAAGAATTTCCTATTCCGCCTCTGAAAGTTGATCTAACACTAATTTGCCTGGCAAAATGGTTCAGAACCTGAACAAAAGTTTTTTTATGGTACTGAATCAGTACCATAAATCAATTTATGGTACCATTTTGCCAGGCAAATTTAGTTTTCAATCAACTTTCAGAGGCGAAATAGGAAATTCTTCGCAGTTGACACTTTTCATAACTGATGAAAGCAGTAAGAAAACATTTTATTTACTAAATAGCTTATTCAGGTTAACAATTTATTTTTATTTCATTTTGAATATATGCAGGGTTCACGCTATTATTTCTAAGTAAAAGCTACATGACGAATGTCTTCATCTTTATCAAAAAAAAACGTCCAAAAAGTATTGAAACGAAAAAATACGTTAATTTTCATTTTCAATTATGCTAAAATTAAACTATTCACCAATATGTCATGTTTGATTTTCAAGAAAAATTAAGTTTTTTATATTTTTGTTATTTTTATATAATCATAACACGAAATAATTATACCTCTAGATCTAAAATTTCTATGTTTTGTATCATTTCATAATTCAAAGCCATAAAATATAAATTAGTCGAAGTTAGTTTGCTAATTTGTGATAAAATTCATTAATAATTGTTTTAGCGAGTAGTAAAACAGTGTGTAAATGACTACTTAACGTTTATTAAACAAAACTAAAAAATTAAAATTGAGTACCACGATAGGGCCCCATCGGAAGATTTTGCCACGGGCCCCGGAAATCAGATAAGTAGCCATCTAACTGAATATCAATTCTAGCATACTAATATAATTTGAATATTAAATTTTAATTTCAGTCATCAAAAGATCTGAAACTACCGAAGGAATTATAAAACAAAAATCAATCAATTCAAAATAATTCAGGTCATTCATTATGACACCGATAGTAATATAAAATCTTATATAATATAGATAAAATAACTAGTTGAAAAATTAACATTAGGAAAGGTATCTAATTCATTGGTAATTTGTGTTTTTTTACAGTGATTAAGAAAAGTACACAACGCACCTCATCTTTTATAGAAATAGCAAATTTAAACATGAGTTGAATGTAATGTAATAAAATAAATATATATTTTATGAAAATGTGATGAAAATTTCAGAATTATAGCAAAATTCTACTAACGATTTGACTTTTGAAATTTGTATAATATGTATAAACGGCAAAATACATCATATCGCAAATTTATTATGAGAAGCGGAATTCATCTTAATGACAATTATTTATAAACAAGTATAGAAATATAGCTGTAATGATTATATCAAGAGATAATAAAATATGCTGCAGCCAAAAATATAAAAATGTACGTAGAAATAGTAATATCCGCAATTTCGAATTTTACAGGTTCACAATGAAAGTTATGGATAAAATTAGTTTGCAAATTACTGCTAGGTGCTATTAAAAGATACTCAACGGAGATTAAAGAAGAAATTAATTGCGCAGGTCATTTAAGGAGAAAAGGACCAGAAACAAAATTATAATATCTCAATTATAATGCAGAAAAACTTCTGAATTGGACATTTTATCAATATATTTTATTTTCTCCGTTTTTTTCAGTTTGACTTTGGATTCGTGTTCAGCGGTGAGAATACATTGGAAAACGTATGTGGCAAGCACAGCATAGAAACTACATAGAAACTGTTAACGATTAAATTTCATAATATTTATGATCTACAACTAAAGAGTATTATAATAATTAATAAATGAAAATAACAAATATATTATAGCAACGAATACATTAAATTGAATTTTATTAACGATTTTTTTCGCTAAAGCAAAAGTAAATGTATCGTTCACAACAAACATTACAGCAAAGACCAGGCATCCTGAACATTAACTAATATTTGTAATTACAGGTCATCTGCTGGCATTGTTGGTGCACCAGCTGGACGGGCCATGACGATGTGATCAATTCGCAGCACGGTGCAGGCTGCCTGTGTGGCCCTTTTAAGGGCCCAATGTTTAACAACCAATGCATCAAGTACATCTCTCTCCACCACGTCGAAACAAGTAACAGCTGTATCTATATGTAAACATACAGTATGTAAAAATTTGGTAAAATGTAAAAGCTTTGATATATAGTAACAAACTTCAATCGTGCTTATTTATTAAATTTGAAGCTTTGAACAAAAAAAATATTCTATTATTATATCTACCGCCAAAGCCCGACATCAGGCAACATTGATGTCAAATTTTCACTTGAGGTTATAGATCTCAATTATAGCCTTAAGTGAAAATCGCCTCTTGTAGGTATAGTTGCATATATATATATATATATATATATATATATATATATATATATATATATATAACAAAAAATGCCAACAAATACTTCGAGTATAGTTAATTAGTCATAATTGGATTGGACTACTACTGGGTTGCCACCCATTCAAAATTCCATATAATAAAGTCAAAAACAATTACTGAATGTCCTAAGTGTGACAGATTGTAATTTAAAAAAATGCTTAACTGTTAACATACCATTCATAGTTTTAAAAAATACACCTTCATACATTATAAAAATGCAATTAAAATTAGATAATAGAGTAATGTTGAATGCATTAATAATTGCACGAGTTTAAGTAAAACATGAATAAACTAAATTTTACCCAAAATTATTAAATAAAATCATAACAATAACAAATAAATTAAGACTTTACTCCGACAAAGTTTTAATCGGGATCGGTTTACTCCGAAGGTAAATGATATATACTTTCACGCATCATATTTATATAGTTTTCACAATTTTTAAATTACTTAATGTGAATGCTGATTACTTCAAAACCTTATCCGAAAAAGATTAAACTTAACTAATCGATTTTCTTTTTACATAATACATTTTGCTAAAAGGTGATAAAGTGAAAGATTAGATCATAATAAGTTACAAAAGTATTCTTTCAATTGATATTGATCATAAGAAACTAGCAGAGGCGTAACTACCGCCGTATTAGCCGTATCAAAAATACGGGGCCCGCGGGCCAGGGGAGCCCCAACATCCGTAAGCAAATATTATGTTCAATAAAATTTACTGGCATTAAAAAAAAAACGCGAGAAATGTAAAATTATTATTTTAAAGTGTATTTTTTCCGGGACATGGAAGCCCAACCTGCCCAAATATTAATAGAATCTTAAGAATTTTTATCTTATTTCACAAATAACAAAAGTTAAAATAATCATGAAAACTTTCTTGCAACTAAATTTAATTTTGAATAAAACATGAGCGTGTAGAATGTAAAAATATAACTTTAGAGGGCTGCGATAGAATAGAAAACTAGCATTTTATGCAAAGTCATTTAGTGTTAATTTAAGAAATTAAAATTAATTCAGCAGTTTGCTAAATGTCTCGAAAAATTAACAAAGGAATGAAGCGTAAACGACTGTTTTCAAAAACAAAAGGCAAAGTATAGCAACCCGTAATCTTGTTTGAAATTCAACATATACTATTGCTAATTATACATATTAATTTCTCAAACTAAACAAAGATCAGAGACTTCGACTCAATTAGTATGTTCGAATAATTACAACTAGTCATTTAGCAAAACACCTGTCTTCATGAAACTTTCGTCTAAATACAGTAAAATCATCATTTTATAACCAATTGTAAACTCTCTAAAAATATGTTTAAAATGTGAAATATTTATTATATTGCTGCCACAATTCAATACTTTTTCTTACAATTTTCCCGAAGTAATTTTTGCATACAATTTACCAATTGCAACCGTAAATGCTGAAAATTTTTTTCAAAAATAAAACTGATAAAAAATTAGCTAATTAGTTGTAAGCCTTAGGGAACTTTGCTTGTATTTCCCGATATGTGTAAATAATCGACACAATCAATAAGAATTTAGATTTATTCCAAATTTTTATGATTTTTTAAAAGAAAAAGAGGTCCGGGGGATATATTCCGAACAAAATTTCCGGCGAAAATTTTAGCACTCTTTTCTAAATTTCGAGGAATCGGCTCAGCCTATCGTTGTAAACAAACATTTTCTGGCAAAAATATAAACATTTCTTTCAGGAAGTTAAATACTTCTATGATACAGGAACAGCAGTCAGATCATTATTGTTCATAGAAGCAGAAACTTTATCAAAAACTATAAGCTATAAATTTTTTTATTTTTTTTATTTTCTTATAAATTACAATCTGTCTAAATAAAAAGGCATTGAGTAATTATTTTGACTAATAAGCTATAAATGATTTAATACATGTGTAGATTGAATTTGCATCGTTTGTAACATTTGTTTTGAAAAAGAGATAGATGAATATTGATGATAAGTGAATATTTATAAAAAAAAATTGAGAAAATTCTGCCCTGCTTTAGGGGGCCTCCAAAAAAATTTGATACGGGGCCCCGCCAATGCACGCTACGCCCCTGGAAACTAGCTAAACAAAATTAATTTTATAATATATATTAATGTTAAATTATTGAAGTTTCAGATTACAGTAAATGTTATTTACTCTTATCTTCTATACGTATATATAAAAATAAGTCGGGTTTTCCTTCCTGACGTAATAACTCCAGAACGCACGAATCGATTTCGAAAATTTTGCATTCGTTGGAAAGGTCTCGGGCTCCGCAAGGTTTATAGCTAAGAAAATTAGTGGTGCATGGCATCGTGCCTTAACGCATATTGCTCGAACTTCACGCACCGCAATTAAAAATTCAAGTAATAAAAATAATCAATAATTGTTTTAAATAATTGCAAATAGATTATCTTCTATATATGTAAAAATAAGTCGGGTTTTCCTTCCTGACGAAATAACTACAGAACGCACGAACCGATTTCGACAATTTTGCATTCGCTGGAAAGGTCTCGGGCTCCGCAAGGTTTATAGCTAAGAAAATTAGTGGTGCATGCCCTAATGCAAATTGCTGGAACTTCACGCACCGTAATTAAAAATTCGAGTTTTAAAAATAATCAATAATTGCAATTGTTTTAAATAATTGCAAATAGATTATTTTCTATATATGTATACAAATAAGTCGGGTTTTCTTTTCTGATCAAATTTTTCCTTTTCAAATATAAAACAAACAAAAAATTTCTTCATCTTTCTCACGAAACCATCTGGTGGCGAAACGGAGTTCGTCGGGTTTGCTAGTTGTTTATATATATATATATATATATATATATATATATATATATATATCTTATATATATAAAATTCTTCTGTAACAATGTAAGTTTCATTAATCCTCCTAAACTATAATTCGGATTTTCATGAATCTTCCTGAAGTTTGTTCTGGAAATTTTCTAGAATGTTTTGATTTATAGAAATATAGTTAGATTGTAGAAATAAATGGAAAAAATTGCAAAAAGCCGCTTATCATTGTTTGACCTTTAAAATATTTAAGGCATGGTTTGACATTAAAAACAAATGACAACTGTCATTTGCCAAACATTTCTATTCACTTATAGGCTAAGGCAATATTAAAATATAATAAATTCATGATTAAAAATAAAGAAAATGTAATGTCTACATTAATATTGTCGAAAAGCAGCTGAGATGTGCCCTAATTAAATAAATATAAGATGCCAATAATATAACATGCGTCTGACAGTCTGCGCATGCGACTGACGCGCACGGCGAATCGTGTTCTCAACGTGCGCGTGGTTTGCTTTTGCTTGCAATAATTTTGTCTGCGCACTTTGCGAACAGATTCGCCGTACGAATTCTTGCAAAGGAGACGAGCCATAAGTGATTGCGCTCAAAAATATTCAATTTGCGGTCGTTTTGCCTTACTATACTAAGTCACAATACAAAAAAAATTACTTATTCAAAAAATTATTTAGAAGTTTCATTGTGTCAAAAATTCATATGGTTGGCATTTTGTACGGAATATTTACTCAATGGAGCGCTTTGGGTCTGAACTTTTTTTTACTATTTTCCAATTCGTTTGGAATTTTGGAATTAGGCTCATCTTACTCTCAAGTTCAAAAGTGAAAACAATTTAGACTCCTTTGCACTACCCGGGGGGATGCCATTTCTTTTCAGTGGTGTAATAACGTTGGGTGTGGATAAAAGAACTAATTATAAGAAAAAAATGTTTAATAATGTTTTTCAAAAACGCAAATACTTTTAAAGTTACTGGCTACTGAAAATTTGTTTCTTTTTTGCGTTTTTCATCGTTTTTTGCTAATATCTTCAAAAATATACATTTTAACGAAAATTATGTAGTGAACAAAATTATATGAATAAAAAATCTAATAAATCGCTTTTTTACAGTGTTCTAGGAACAATATTAAGTTAATTACTTCTGCGTGTAAAATGAGTGAGCTATCATGCAATTAAAAGACGCATACAATATTTTTTTTTCATTTAAATCAAATAGTTTATGAGTGCCATTTCCACCAAAATTAAAAATAATCGTTTTCCATCTAGAATTAACTTGGTTTGAGAGATCTTGATGGATTCTAGAAAATACCATAACATTAGTACAAACGATTTTCAAAAAACTCATGATTTCATAAAAAAATCCATTTAAAAAAAAGCAATTTCTCATTATAATATCTCTGAAAGAATACGTATAAAAGTATATATATATATATGAAAATTCAAGGTATTTTTCAGACTAATTATTGCTTTTTATTATTTTTTGTTACACAAACATTGATAGAGTTCTAATTGTTTAAAGAGTGCGCGGCTGTCCAACCGGAGTGTCTTCCGAGCCCTTTAACCCTTCGCCGTTTCAAAATAAGAGAAGTTACGGTAAAATTTATGATAGAGAAAGTTGTAGCTCATTTAATCACCTTTAAAATAGTATATTACAAGTTATGATAAAATCAGAATTAAAAGAGTTATAATCCAATTAATGCGGGGGGTGGTGACGAAATGCAAATTGTTTTCACTTCTGAACTTTAGATTAAGATTAGCTAGGCATACGCTTTTTTCCTCTCCATTTACTGCAATAATTTTGTTGATAGTAGGTTGAATAGAGCACAGGTGAACAAAATTTGACAAATTAATTCACTTCAAATATGAACTTAAGTAATAATGTATATTGAATTATTAGTGTGAAAAAT